TGAACAAGACCCGCTTTTTTTTCAGGTTCTAGGATTCACAGGTATACCCTAAACTAAACCGTAATTCAACCCCGACGCCCTGAAATCCGAAAGTCTTAAGAATCCTCAACTTTACCCCGAAGGGTCCATGTACCCAATAATCATAAAAGCTCTCCCAAATATTATGCTCGATTACTTTTATCCGTAGCCAAAGCACCCGATTTTTTTGGGTCCTGTGGACCCTTAAGGCAACCCTAATCCCTAAACCCTAAATCCGCTACTTAAAGTAACGCAAAGAACACCTACCCTATGGGGCCTTCCAGCGAGAAAGGTGCTTCGAAAAAAAGCACCTAAATCCAGAAGTCTTACGAATCCCGAAACCCTAAACCCTAAACCCTAAACCCTAAACCCTAAACCCTAAACCCTAAACCCTAAACCCTAAACCCGAACCGTAAAGCTTCGCCAGAGAGAAAAGTGTCGGCCAAAGGTCTGGACGTTTGGGTCAGCGAGGATGCAGGAATCCAACTGTGTCAGGGTTTAGGGCTTCGGGGCACTTCGCTTTGAACACCGGCGCAGCAGCCGATGAACCTTACGAGACCTACCTGTTTTAGGGTTTCGAGAGTTTGGGGTTTGTGTTTTTTTTGGGATTGGGGGTGGGGTCAACCTACATATCAGCAGGGTAACGGTACATGGGCCCTTAGGGTAAGCTCCACAGCAGCAAGAGTATGCATGCATACCAGCACTGCAGGCGCGGTACTGGTCAAGCTGTTGAGACGACTCACGGGGACGCACATCCAACCCTTTTCAACCCGTATAGTAAATATTTACAATTACCTATACTATTTTGGTGGTTCCTTATTATGGTTATAGTGTAATGGGCCCCAAAGCCTTATTCTAATTACTAAGGCCCTACATTACTGCCTTATAGCCCTGGAGCCTAACACTGTGCAAAGAGGAAGCTTTGGACCTAGCAGCTTTCGGTCTTAGGCGGTTCACGAACCTGCCTCTGAGGCAAAGAGACTTTTTTCGGTTGTTTGGGCGGCATTCTATCATGACATGAGACATAAGAGAATATAATAAACATAAGTACAAGATACGACCGTGCTGATGTCGTGTGTCGACGGAGTTGAAGCGGAGAGACAGAAAAAGAAACAGACAGAGAGAGAGAGAGAGAGAGAGAGAACGAGAAGACAGACACAGGGAAAGCAGAGACGGAGCTCTCGCCGACGAGGAGAGAGAAGATAGGGCGGCCGTTTATGGAGACGACGACTGAAGAATGGAAGGAGAGGAGCGAATAAAGAGAGAGGGAGAGAGAGAGCATGCGGTTTAGGGTTTAGAGAATCAGTGCACGACGCAGATGTGTCTCGGGACTCCGCAGCGGAACTCGAATCTTCTGTCTCCACCTTGCGGGTACTGAGCGCTGCTTCTTTTGGCGAGAAGAACATACCTGCAGCGCAACCACATTGCGTACATACCAAAATCGCTGCCCGTTCTGTGATTCCTTCATCCCTAAACCCTAAACCCTAAACCCTAAACCCTAAACCCTTTAATTAGTATAGGACCATGAGGCTAGAGTCGAGGGTTAAGTTTTGGGGTTGTAGGGTCTCGCACAAACAGACATGCAGACAGCTTCCTCCTGCTATCCTAAGCTTCGGAATTCCTATGCAGGCTGGTTTTATCTCTTTCTTTCTGAAGTCCTGTCATTGTGTAATTACTATCCCAGGGACCCCAGGACACCAGTTTAGTTGTGGTTCTAAGAGCAATGCCGCTGCCGGATATCGTAGCGTGATCTAATTAGCAAGATCATTCCCGAGGGCTCCAAGACTTGTATCTTTCCCCCGCCACGCCCCCGCCCCCCTCAAACGGTTTAGGGTTTAGGGCTTTCGGGTTTGGGTTTGGGGTTTAGGGCTTTAGGGTTTAGGCGTTTGGGTTTTAGGGTTTTAGGGTCCAGGGTCTGGGTATCTGAATCCTTGAGTTACCTCAGCAGCTGAATTGGCCGCCGACGACAGGCTACAGCTGGAGCCAACTCGATCGACCTCCCTGGGACAGAGCCTCAAAATGGGTGTCGGATGGTGTCGGCGTTACAGTCTTCCACCGTCTTGTCGGGTGTAAGCCCGATGATGAGGTTTAGGGCTACTTGTTTGAATGATTGAAAGCTCTCTCAACATTCAGGCGAGATTTGCGTCTTATCACATTACCTTGTAGTTTGGGTTTGTCCCGATCTTGCAGTGGGTTTTATTACCCTGAACCCCGAAGCCCTGCAGGCAAAACCCTAAAGTCCCTAAAGTGCTACAATGTCGACGCTTGCGCGCCGGCTCTTTTCCTAAGTGCCACTGCTGTCCTGTTTTCCGGGTGGGAGCAGAGAAGGCTGATTTCGCCAGTCCGGAAACGCGAAGGCCCACATCACCGGCCGATTTCGAAGCGCCCTGCTGCCACTGGCTCCGGCCCGGAGACCCCAGCGTGCTTTCAGAGCTTGCAGGGTTGCGGGTTCGGGGCAATCTTTCGGGGTTGGGGAGCTTCAGAAGGTGTTCGGATGATGTTCAGAAGAGTCTAACCCTAAGCCGTTGGGTCCAAAAACCACAGGATTTAGGGTGTTCGAAGCACTTGAGAAGATCGAGTTGGGAAGATTTTTCGCTCAGACCTCCATCGAAAGTTCAGGTTATTCAGAATGTTCAACGACTCGAGCGCCATTTGGGGTCGACGCAAAATAACCAAGGGAGGGGGGCCTCAATAATTACCAATACTATTTGGGGGTGTTATGTTTAGTATACCCCAACACGCTGATAGTAGTAATGGAGTTTATGTTGAGGACTCTAGGGTTTAGGGCTGCAGGGCATGAGGATTCAAGGTTTGAGGCATGCAGGTTCTACATCGAGGTTTTCGCCGAATCCCCGAACTATAAACCGTACCCTAAACCCTGAACCCTAAACCCTAAACCCTAAACCCTAAACCTTAACTCTACGCTCTGCACCCCAAGCCTGACAATCTATACCAGAACCCAAACAGCAGACATCGCTCCCTCAGATTTGGGCACAAAGCCCAGGGGGTCAGAATCCAAGCAACAGGACACAAGAGAGAACAGAAGCCCGCTTATGCTTCTGCGCTATCTCTACATTCTGTGCTTTTGTGTTCGTGGTATCGAGCTTCATCCATACTCTCCATGTAGTTGCTTGTTAGTTGACCAACTTGGTGATTAGGACTTTGGTTGTAGCAGGAACCTACTCCCTTGTAGGTACCCCAAACCTTACCCCGACACCCATATTTACTAAATCCTAAAGCCCCACCCTAAACCCCTAAAAAAAACCCTAAACCTCTAAAACCCAAACCGCCAAACCCGAAACCCTAAGCCAAAACCGACTCTTGAGACTTGCAGCGTGGGGTACTCTGACAGCCCCCTCGATCTACTTTCGAGGCTGCCGGTGAGACGGCCGAGTTCAGTCAAACCGCGCTTCGGCATTCGCTTCGGCTTGAGAGTTTTGGGTTTATAAGCCACGGTTTTGGGTTAAGGGTTCAGGCCTTATATAGTTTATACTAGAGTTTAGAGCTTTAGGTTTAGACCTTTGAATTCTATACTCGTGTATAGAGCTTTTAGCTTTCACTTTCAGGGTTTAGAGAAACGGGTTTATAGCGTTTCGAGCTTTGTGGTTCAGGGTTTAGGGGGTCGGCTTTGATGTGGCTGCGAAGGGGAGCTTCGGGTGCACCTGAACTATTCTTGAGCTGGGGAGGGGATGTAGGAGTTGCCTGAGTTTGAGGCATATGGGGCGATTCTACTGATGGCCCTTGGGGCAAACAATCCCCAAGGGCGACCAAGTTGCCATCAACTGCATGCCAGCGCTCCGTGAACCCCCTCCCATCCATCAAGCCTCGCAAAGAAGCTGTGCTTGACAACGGCCTTCATTGATTGCGGATCCAGGAGCAGGTACTGTTGCCCTCGCTACTATTCCTCCACAGTACCTAGAGATGGTGGGGTTTGGCGTTTAATTAGGCCTTGAAGGGAGGTACTGTTTACCTTGCCAGCCCTACACGACCTTACACTGCTACAACCTGCTTTTTCTTTGTAGGTTCTTTTCATACACATTTATAGATTTATCAACCATAATAGAGACTACATCTAGAATTCAATTAGGACCCTGCCAACAAAGAGTAGGTTTTGGTAGCTCAAAGGAGACAGCGTAGTGTTAACAGAACTTAGGAGCGCCACTTGAGGGCTTGAGGGGTATTTTGGTTACGAGCTTATTGATTCTATACTTTGTATGATGTATGGTATTGTGGTATTGCCAAAGCCTCGCATAAACCGTAAACTCCGAAAATGCCCTACTCCCTTGAGGTTCAGGGTACATTGGCCCACGGTTCGCAAAGTAGATGGCAACACAGGCAACGTTATGTTTACAGAACTTCGGATGTTCACGTGTTCAATACAGGGGCGTCTATGCCTTAATGACTAGAACAGTGTTGAGGGGGGCTATGCTATCGTATCGCTGTGAGAAGTCACCTTCAAGGAAGAATATTGAGTATTGATCATTGTTCAGGCATCTGTATTTGGGGTGCAGTGTTCAGTTTTAGTTATAGGGTGCAGGGCTTTTTGCGTCCAGGGTGTGCATCCTAAACCCTAGACCCTAAACCCTAAACCCCCTGATTTTGTCTCCCCGATCCGAGGCCAAGGTGCTGCTGGTAGGTGGGTGTTTCATCGATGGGGGTGATGGCGCCTACGGTGGCTTTGAGCGCCCTGTCAGCAAGGAGCCCTTGTTGCCCGAAGTTACTAATATTAATTGTTGTCTTTGTCCTACAGGCTTGTAAGGCGTTGGGGGGTTTTCAGGGTTTGGGAGTTTCAAAGGAGAAATGGTTCTTCGCTTGGACAGGTTATATGACTACCTGTAGCATTACTGACTTGTGCATGGTTATGGTCGTGCCTTTTACAGTCACTGTCATTTGTATAGCCTGTAAAGCATTGAATTGCCGGTTGTTTCATTCAGAGCTTTCCTATCGATCTTGGTGATCACGATTTATGATTCGGATTCGGAGTATTTTGCACATTGTAGATGTGGTGTCAGTGTTGTATACTTGTGGCTTCGTGGTTCAAGAGGTGTCCCAGACACCAAACCCCGACAAACCGTGCCGGATCTGGAGTGAGGGTCTTGCAGGGCGAGCACTGCTTAAGGCAGTTTGAGGGGGCATGGATTTGGGAGTTTCCGAAAATAATAAGGGGTACCTTATTTTGGGGCCTTACAATAAGGATCCTACTATTGAGGGCACTATATTAGGGTCCTCTATTTTCGGAAACCCCCCCATTTTCTCTTGATTCCCATGGTAGTTTGAATCGTGGCTCTGCAGATCTCAGTGGCTTCTCTTCTCCTCAAAGGGCAGGCAGGAGCTTCCGAAGACCAAACTCTTGACACGAACCGACAAGAATCAAAAAGGCCATCCTCCAAGACTTCGTGCTCGGTGACATTCTTAACCAGAAAGGGGCTCGGAAATCCGTGAATGTGGCCGGGGGGGAATACATCCAGACCTCCATGGTGTCTCTAGCCATGCACCTGCTGATTGCTGCAGGAGGAACGTGCACATGTGGCTTGTCTTAGTTATACATGATCCTTTGCAGGACGTCATTTCCAAGCCTTTCCCAGCCGACAAGAAAAACATTTGAGCTTCCCAGTATGTATGCGTATGTGTATATACATGTGTATGTATATATATATATATATATATGTGTGTATGTATACCGTATATAATATAGATAGATAGCAAGTCCTCATATAAATCTGACTGGTGGTGAGCTGCCGCAAGCCTTCCTCGTACCCAGCCCAGCCTAATTTGGGGCTTGAACAACTAGAATAGGGTTTGGGGGGGATCTTACACATTACGAAAAGGACTACTCAGGAACAAGGTTTTTCGTCCGTCCCCTGTGTGAGAGCCTGCCTAGGAGACTGATGCACGATGTTTGGGAAGGCGCGGTGAGCTCGAGTTCTGACTTAAGAGTTGAGGCACGCAGTCATTCAGGGTTTAGCGGTTTAGGGTTCAGGGGTTTCGGCATTTAGATGGTAGTTTAGGGTTTAGGGTTCAGGGTTTAGGCAAGGCCTTACAGGATTACTTGTAGCACAGAAACACCTACAAGTTTTCGGGCTGCGTTTGCTGATTCCCTTTTTATAACTCCTTGCTTTGTAGTAAGGGATGTTTTTTGAGGCACCCCAGGTAGCGTCCGCACTCCCACAGCTGCAGGCTCCCAACCGGTTGGGCATGCAAGACCCGAAACCCTAAACCCTAAACCCCAAAACCCTAAACCCTAAACCCTAAACCCTAAAGCCTAAACCCCAAAACCCTAAACCCTAAACCACCCTAGACTCTGCGGCCCCGGCTGCCAGGCCACGTCAACTTCGGCAAGAAGGTGCAGCCCGATACGCCTGTAACAGACAGGGCTCCGGTAAGAAGTTCCGGTTGGGCTTGCTCTATCTTTCGTGTGAAATTCCCAACGGGTCCTAAGTACTGTTATGGGGGATACTTCCCCAAATCATAATAGTAACTCCCAATATAGAAACCCTGCATTCTACTATATAGATACTTTGGATCCTTTGGGTTTGCTTCATAATTCCGGTTCTGTGTTGCGTGCTTGATGTGTTCCATGATCCCATGACGGCCCTAAACCCGAAACCCTACAGCAAGCCTTCAGTCTGAAAGCCATGTTGGCCGATTCATTGGACCGCGGCAGGGCCCTATACAGCCAAACCACCACTCCAAGCTACGCATACTCATGATAGACAGCCTGCCCGCGCACTACAGTCTCCGTCTGCTAAGATCACTTCTTGCCACATCCCGCAGCACATAGGTTTACCCTCACAGCTGATGATACTCCAGTATTCCACTGCTCTGAGCAAGAAGTGCAGCATGGTGTACGGCTGCAAGGGCTTGCCCGATGCAATGAGTACCTTGACCATACTTCAAACTGCCAGCAGAAAGACTACAGATCACAATCCCTCCGTGGCCACGGTGACAGTGCGGAGCCTGTAGGGACGAAAAGTGGCTTCAACAAAAACAACCGAAACCCTGGTGGATAAAGATTAGAAGTAGCCCTCAAAACCCTATTCTAATTACTGAGGCCCCTACATTAGCATGGGTTTCTTGAACGTGGTGGATTCAGCTCGCCGAAGGCAGCGGAGTGGACAAGCTGGGGTACCCAGACTGATGATCGTGGAAGGCCAGCGACCAGCCGCAAAAGTATCGTAATAGTATACGCTAGACGCTATAACATTGCTGTCTCATGTCATATGATATATCTTATAGTATATAATACAACCCAAGCCAAGGGTCTACGAGGACGTAAACCCGCTATTGGAGTTAGAGTCCTTGATAGTGGGCGCTTTGTGGGCACTTTGGGTCGTAGTGGGTAAGTGGGGAGTCTAGGTACAGTAGAGTTTGGGGTTTTGGGTTTAGGGTTCAGGGATAGGAATGTGGGGTTAGTCCAGTCCAAACCCCATTCTAAGGATGAAGGCCCCGATACAAACCCTTGTCTGAAACCCTATGGCCCTGTGCAATCCTTAACAACACTGCTCGAAGGCCCTTAGATTAAAAAACATATTTTGTTTTAGAAGGTTTGCTGAGCCCGAAACCCTCTTCCGTGCATTTCATTAATGTTGAGTGAAGGAGGAAGAGCGAGGGAGGGAGGGAGGGAGGGAGGGAGGGAGGGAGGGAGGGAGGGAGGGAACCTTTCAGCTGTGCAGCATGTCGTACGCTTCTGGACAAAGGTTGTGGAAAGCCTATGCCCAAACCCAGAGCATAAAAGCCCAAACCCGAAACCCTAAGCCCCTAAACCCCTAAATCCTAAACCCTAAACCCTAAACCCTCAACCCCAAAAACCCACCTAAATCCTAAACCCTCAACCCCAAAAACCCAAAGCCTACAGAGCATGGCTTCCCAGTTTCCAGCGTGCCTTCGTCCGGCTTTGGCCGGACCAGATTTTTTTGGTGGTATGAGGCTTCAAGGAACACTAAACCCTAAATCCTGAACCTGACACCCTAATATAGGGGCCTTGATAATTAGAATAGGGTTTGGGGGGATATTATACTATAATCATGTCAAGGAGCCCCCCAAAGACCTGTTCTAATTATTAAGGCACCTACATTAAATCCTAAACCCGAAACCCTAAACCCCAAAACCCTGAACCCTAAACACTAAGTTGTGGCCTATGGTCCCCTCAAAGGTTAGGGTCGCCCTTTGTCCCATACTAACATCGGCACTTCACCGTACAGCCCACACTCCGTGAATGCTACAGTCCCAACCTCATAGCCCGAACAAGCAAAACCATACTTCTGACATCCAAAACCTCTCCCTGAACCCTAACCAACCTTGCTAAGGAAGCGGCAATCACAAGCGTGGGTAGGTTGCTCATGGTTCAGCTAAGCCTTATAGACTCACAAAGACGGCTGCCTGGGCATCTCTGCCCCCACTCCTCAAGCCACATGCAAGCCGTGTGGAAGCCGAGCCCGCGCTACAGGTCAAAAAAGACCAAAGACCCAAACACACATTCAGCCCGAACCACCGAAATCCTTAAACCCTAAATCCAAAACCAATATAAATCCTAAACCCTAAACCCTTAAATCCTAAACCCTCCAGGCCCTAAGCCTTGCCCTGCTGGATGGTGGCGGTTTCTCGGCGCTTCGGGCGCTGCGCCGATGCATTCCGTCCTGCCGCAGAAAACAGGGCTGAGGTCCACGTCGTCGTCCGGATCGCTCCTGCCACCTTCCGTCAATTACGGCACTGTAAGGACTATGTAGGGGTTTACACGGATTTCGTGGGACCTTGAGGTTCGATGGGGGTTTCTGAAAATAGGGGACCCTAATATAGTACCCTAAATAGTAGGATCCCTATTATAAAGGACCCCAAAAGAAGGTACCCCTTGTTTTCGGAAACTCCCCTATGTGGCTCTATTGGAATGTATGGGGGGGGGAGTTCACGGGTTCATTTGTTCAGAAAACTTGGCGGCTCTAAGTATGCCAAGTACCTTTTTGCAGCATGGGCTTCAGGCACAGAGCTTTCACCGATGAATCCTTGGAGCCTTTAGGAAAGTTGCGGCTTGGGTTTTCACGTGTAGATATAAGGCCAAGAACAGCTTGGTGCCGCTTTTTGGGTTAAAGCGGGTGGGGATGTAGGCTAAACCCTATCCCTATAGTAGAAGCCAGAAAGTTGGAACATGGGTTTAGGAGGATGAGTGCGAGGATCCCTTATACTTTACCTTGAGGGCATGAGGATAATCAGGTTCCAACTTTCCGGCTTCTACAATAAACCCTAAACCCTATACCCTAAACCCTATACCCTAAACCCTAAACGCTATACCCTAAACCCTAAACCCTAAACCCTAAACCCTAAACCCTAAGCCGGTTGGGGATGTAGGGTTTGCATGGCCTTTCTGGATTTTCGGACCGGGAGCTCGCACCGTCGAGCTTTTATGATTGCTTTGACTCAAACTGTCGGTTTAGGGTTTAGGGTTTAGCGTTTAGGGTTTAGGGTTTAGGGTTTAGGGTTCGTCTTCTGAGCTCTTGTTAAGGAAGCTTAGTTAGGCTACTGTAGCAGGCATCTACTGTAAATAGCAGGGTGTCATTTTTCTGGCAACTTAGAGTAATTTCCGTAGCAAGAACCCAGTTTGTGGGGGATTTTTGTTTATTTCCGTTTCCGTCCTTTCGCGGTATATATACACACCAAGGGCCCAGAAGCCCTGAACGCTAAAGGCCTT